ACGATAGCTCATTAGCTTGACCGGCAGATCAAATGACATATTTGCTTTTGTCTGTTGCTGATAATTCAAAGTTTGATTTATCAGACCACAGAATTTCATGCCACTTTTGTTGAGACCAGGAAAGATGTTCTTTGGCTCACTGTACCTGTTCTTCTTTTGATGTGCTGTTAGCAAAGGTTTTTCATGTGCTGCATAGAATTGGAAATGCATTTCTTGCAGTCTCCTGCATATTGTCGAAACAGATACATTCTTTCCAGTTGTATCATTCCATATTATAGTTACATTCTATATCTGTGGCATGGCAGTTGTTTTTTACGATTTTTTTAAAACTTCTATCATCAACTTTTGAAGTTTTTCACTGATGTCCAGCAGCTTTGTTATGTATAACATGGCCGTGGTTAGTGTAATAAACAGTAATCTGGTGCACTGTTGTCTTGCTTAGCAATAGTTCTTTTCTAATAGCTCTCTCAGACATGCCAAGACTTTGTTTAGCAATGATAGCATTCCTTAAATCTTCTGAAACAGCTTTTCCACTGATCATTGTAGACAAAATGCGTAGGTTCATAAATAAAACTAAAAAAGCACTTTATATAATTCACAGGATTACTGCAGGCTAAAGTGAGGCTAAAATAATCAGTTGTTTCAGAAATACTGCAATTGTAATAATATTTAAATGCAAATTATCAGCTGGTCTATATTCATTGACATGGCTGATGCAGTGGTCTATGTTTTTTGATGCCTGTGATTCAAGTTTGACTGGCTCAATTTTGTTAAACTTGCAAGATATCAAGTTGATATTTAGCAAAAATAAAGATTAATTACTGTATATTTGTTTTAAATTATGTAAAACATTCATGCAATGAATCAAAGCTACTTTTTTAAACCTATTTATTGAATGACATGTTAACTGTGACTTGGTGATTACTGTAATAAACTGAAGAATTTGGAAAATTCAAATTGGTTTTATAGTACAGGTAACCCCTGTATAACACGGCACTTCTATAGCACGGGTTCACTCTAACACGTTTTGGGAATTAGGTAAAACCCTTGTACAACATAAAATGTAATAAAGGGTGCGTTCTTTTATATCTCCTCATAACTCCGTGTGAGCATTCTAATTGTTTCATGTCTACTTTGAATGCTCTTTCAACAAATAATCCATTTAATGGTTATATTTTACAAATGGGACCCTTCTTTTGCCTCTAAAAGCTCATTTTAGAATTATAGATTCCTCCATCACGATACTATCGATAGTGCGGGCGCCGCCATCTTTCTTTCAACGTCGTTCCTAAATGCCTACAAACAGCAGCGCACTCCTGTTGCAGAGCGATCGCTATTAACGAACGCACCCAAACACTGTCACCAGTTGATGATGCTCATTATATATGATGAATAATCCTCTGGTAAAATATTTACTTAAATAATAAATAAGTATTTTACCTATGAAAAAAAATGAATAATAAATCCGATTTAAATAAGGCTTTAACAGCATGCTTTTTAATTTTTGGAACCTCATTAACCCCACTTTTCGCACTAGTTCTTTGTTTCGTATAACACGGATTCTCATAACACAGCAATTTTTTTGGAACGTAACTCCCGTGTTATACAGGGGTTACCTGTATATTTATTTATCTGGTTTGAATATGTTTCATTTTCTATAACAACTGTAAAATATTTTTTCTATATATGTTTATTAAAATTTAAACACATTATTTGAAATAACAACAATTTGATTCAATAACTAAATATAAAAGCTGCTTTGTTAAAAATAGAATAAAATACTTTAAAATAATTTCTTAAAAGTTTTCTTTGTATTGATAGTTTTATGATTAATTATCAAACAAAAAAAAATTAAATAAATAGTTGACTGAAACATGTCACGCCCGAAACATGTGTATCAACTGAAATAAAAGATGAAGAAATGCTATGTAATCAATTAATCATACTACATAGTGTTTAAGCAACAAAAAAAAAAAATTAAATAGTTACTATGAACATATTTTGTATTTACATTTTAAATTAATTCATACACTTATTGTCATAAAAAATTAGTGCACTAAGGAGGAGTTGTCGGAATTGAACAAAATTGTGTGTGAGTGTAATGGTGATAGAAGTAAGTGATTACAAAAATAAAAGCAAAAAAGGATAATTTATTTATTGCAGGATAAACTACAAATGAAAGGAGGTTCTAGAATCCTGTTGGGTCGCCTCTAGCGTGTAATACACAATATGGTACAGGCAGACATGGAGGCATGCAAATGTCATATGGTGTCCTGTGGCATCTCAATCCACAGTAACTGTGGATTGCAAAGCAGTCCTCTAGTTTGGTCAAACTCCTAGGATGTCCAACTTGGTGTCTCAGGTGATCCCAGATCTAGGTGTTCAATTGGTAATAAATCGGGACTGGGCAGGCCAGGGAAGTATGGCAATACGGCAGAGGCAGTTCTGTGACACCCTTACTATGTGGCTTAGCACTGGAAAATGGCTCTTGGGAGCCCTGCCATGAGAGGCAACATGTGGCTGCAGGATGTCGCTAACATATAACTGGGCTGTCATGGTTCTTGGACCGCTACTAGAGGTGACCAGCTGTTATATGTGAAGGCATACCAGACTATCATACCACCTGTGGGGTAGTGTGCTGCTTCAAAGTGTAGGCAATATTGAGGCGTTCTCCACAGGGCCTCCAAACATGAACATGGCTGTTGTCAGTGCCCAAACTGAATCTAGATTCGTTTCTGTAGATGACCTGGTTCCATTCTGTTGCAGTCAAATCCTGTCAGGAGCGACACCATTCCAAATGGAGGTGACGGTGGGTGGTGTTAATGGCAGCACATAACGTTAAGAAATGTTCCTTATTCAGGTGCCTGGAAATGGTACAGACAGACATAGGGGCCTGTAATGATGGTGTGCCACCTGTGGCCAGATAGCAGACAATGATACAGTTGGCCAAGTGTGTGCTTGTTACAGGACCAGGCGGTTCTCTTGGCTGGTGGTCTTCCGAGGTTGTCCTGAGTCTGGGCACATAAATGCAAGCTCTCTCTCTCAGTCCACTCAACTCTTGTCCACTAGTCCCACTGGAGGTGGATCCAGTGGATGAGAGTTGTCAGAACAACCTAGGTATTTAGCAAGATAAAAATCTGGCTTCTCTCAACCTGATGAACCTTTCCCTCTCAAATTTGGTTAGTTGTTCATATAGTCTTTGATTGTGATGTAAAGGCATCTCTAGTGATACCATGTCCCTCTGTAACAGGTAAACTATAGACAGGATGCCTTTGCTTGTGTTTTTTATAGACCAAAGGGACACAATGTCTTCTGCTAGCATTATGCAATGAGCCATCATGCTATAAGGGTGCGACTATGCAGATGCGAATTTAGAGCGAGTGAGAGGTTGCGAGCGATTTAGTTTTCGCAAAGGAAAACCATGCACAAACGAGAAGCGAGAAATAACGCTGGCGAGAGATAATTTCTGGTTCTCGCACATATATGACAGGTTTTGATATTTATCGCTTCTCGCCTCTTCTCGCTCGCTCGGAAAATTCGCTCGCTCGCGTCTGCATAGTCGCACCCTAATTCTAATCATCTCCATATCTGCTTGAGACTTATATGCATGCCAAGTTTTGCAGGGATATGACAACTCCTTGGTGTGTTAATTTTTATGGCAATGAGTATTTTACTGAAAAAATATTCACTTTATAAAAATGGGTTGTTTATTTATATTAGTGTCCTAGTTCAAAAAAAACTTATTTTAAAAATTTAAATTTTATTTATTTATTTATATATGATCATCATGATTAATTGATATTGAATAAATACATAAAATCTTTACAGATATAATGATATTATAAGTCAAAATTATTGACACTTGTGTTTATTTAGATCACTTGCATTAAAATCAAAACACTGTGGAGGGGAAAAAAAAGCAAATTGAAAGTATCTATACTTTGTTTTTCCACTTTAAATTTTAGAATTAATTCCAATGCTACAATGAAATTATTTTATAATTATGTATTTGATATTTGTATTGATAAAACAGATGTTTGTCCTAATACTACCAAGATTGATGCATGTTTGTTTTAATTTTAATATATCTAAAACACTTAATTTCCATATAAAATATTTTCAACAATAACTTTCATTGTGATTCATAATTGTCAAAATATTTAATCTTCAAAATTGAAAATTACATTGATACATACTTATATGCACACATTTACAAAAAAGTTATTTAAATTATAAATACAAAAAAATTACAGCAATTGTATATAATGATAAAGTATATAGCAACATTTACAGAACCAATTTCTGGCATATAATACAAAAAAACAAATACTGTACAATCATTTTTCAACTCCTGAGTTCTTCAGGTTTGACAGAATGGTTACCAGATGAAATGTTATTAGAGCAAACATCTATTTGTAAAAATTTTTAAAACAATGTCATTTGAATAACCTTTCAAAATTATAAACATAAATTTACTGTTACATTGGCATTGTCATGTGCATAATCATTCAATTAACCAATACAGGTGGTGTCAAGCAGGGCTTGACAGGCCATTGAAAATGCCATTTCCTCCTTAAAATTTATACAAGATGACTCAAAGTTAGCTTTAAAACTTTTTATGGTGTCCAACCATCTGAGAAGCTCTGTGTGTGATGTTATGAAGAGAAGTTTGACCCATGTGAAGACCACAACTATTTTCAGATCTGCTGTATACAGAGAGGGATGTCGATGTTCTAGCATGTCTTTGAGTCATCTTGTATAAATTTTAAAAAGAAAATGGTGTTGTCAATGGCCTGGCAGGCCCTGCTCAACACAACATTGTAGTGGTTAATTGAATGATCATTATGGCAACAATGCCTATGTAACAGTAAATTTTTGTTCATAATTTCTAAAGGTCATTTGAATTACATTGTTTAAAAAATTTTTACTAGTAGATGATTCTTCTGATAACATTTCATCTGATAACCATTCTGTCAAACCTGAAGTATACAGGAGTTGGAAAATGTTTGTGCAGTGTTCGTTTTTTTGTATTATACACACCAGAAATCAGTTCTCTCTGTTGTTACATATATCCTGGTGTAGGGTGGTGTATTTTTTTGATAAATTATGTTTAGAATGATTTAATGTCCACCTTGATTACCAAACAGTATTTGAATCATTTCATTATTTGGATTAGCTTTACCAACAATATTTCTTTCTACTAGTTCTCTCCAAATTACTTTTGTAATAAAAGGATGTAATTTCTGAAAATAATATAAAAAGATTTCACTATAATTTAATATAATTTTTCTACTAGTCAAGATAAATCTTACCTGTAAAGGATGAAAGCTAAAACTCAGTTCTAACATTTCCCATATTAAATATCCTGATTGTTGCCATTCACACATTACTAAGTGATTAATACAAATAATTATTGTTAAATATAAATATAATTTTAAAATTTATAGCAGATAACATTTTACCTTGATGTAATGGATTATGCATATAATGGAGTTTAAATGACTTGAATTTATATGAAACACTTATTTGTTTTAAGACATTGGAAAGTTCCTCTCCTCTCTACATAAAAATATAAATTTTATTTTCAATAATTGCTTATTATATTAAGATAAGATTTAAAAATTTACCTTTGAAGTAGCTGTTCTTATAGTTTCATTTTTATTCAACCATTGATAACACGGACCAATTTTCATAAAATTAAACCAATTATATAAGTCGTCATAAGTTACATCTTTATTTACTTGTCCTAGAGGATGTAAATGTTTTGCCATTGTAGGATAAATAAAAGAACCATTTACTAAACCCATTAACACAACATGACTATTGGGAGGTAATGTATTTTCCTGTTGAAAATTTAGCTTTAAAAACCAAGAAAATTAAAGTATTTATATTAGAATAAAACTTAGATTTTACCAAAAAGTTTAGACTTTTTAATACATTTTTCTTAAATTTTTCTGGTTTAATTAAGTCATCTAAAGAATTCATATAACTAAAAAAAACAATTGTTATTTATGAATGTTAATTTCTTAATTTCAATCAGCCATGATTTTTTTAATGAAATTTAAAAAATAAATTATATAAAACATATTTAAATGATTATATTAAATTTAAGTTTTAATATGAGTTAAATTTATAATTTTATTTAATTTATGAAAATGTCTTAACTAATTTATATTTAATTTATAGAATTACTTGCACTGAACAGATATCATTTACCATCATATCATAGGCAATCACAGGTAATGATGTCTTGTTATGAGAAATTCTACAAAAAAAATAATAAATTGGTTTAGAGAGGATATATAACATTTATTCTAATAAAAACAGTTTTCATGTGTTGTTATATATTCTAGAGAATTAAGTAGATAATGTTATCATTGATGTCTAAACAATTACTTATTTAATCAGTTTTTTAGAGTTAAATTAATACTTGATGTTAGGCCTGAAACTTCTTTCATTTAAAATTTTGATCTTTTCCTACATTGTCAGAATAAATACCCAAGAATATAACCATTTAAAATGGAGAAAAAGTCCAAAAGTATTTTGGATTGTACTTAAATATTTTGGACATTATCTATTTTACAAGAATTTTTGAGCTTAATACTGAGCAATTACCTT